CCAAGATTTATAATCAACAAGTCGTCTATTAGCTCACTATCTGTCACTGACGCATGGTGAGGACTAGCGTAACTTTGATGTTGCTCCTGCAATAAATTATATTAGTACTAACACGCACGCACACAGTATTAATAGAAATGCTCAATATTACAATTTATGTATTAACATGGGCAACATAGCATAATTTGCTAAATGCAATTCATGTTTAACTACATGGAATTTTCTGACATGTGCTAATATGATTACATCTTACAGATTTGAAGAATACCAGATGAACAAAAGCATCACAAATGAACCAGAACAGCCTTCAATCTCACAATTTCTGGACATCCATGTAGGGCTTATGTACTTATGACATATGGCTCTTGTGTATATGTGTCTCTCTCTCTCTCTCTCTCACACACACACACACACACACACACACACACACACAAACAATATGAGATGAGCAGGGGACAAGACAGGACAGAAACTTGGTACTATGGTACTCATTATAGTGTTATAGAAATTAAATGGCACCACCTTCATTGTTGTGGTTTTCAGTGGTTGAACTACACATGCCAGCACTTTTTGTGCAAATATTTTCAGTTATACTTTTGCACCTTTAGTTTATTCTGTGAAGTAATAAGTTCAGGAACAATCTTCCTCCAAATATGTTATATGGAATTGGTTACTAGTGCAATATAGATTTACAGTATTAGCACTAGTTTTGTAAGTTTTGTTTGTTTCATCAAATGTCTTTTGATAAATAAATGCAGAATTTAGATGTATACATGATCTGTCATATTATTACTCTGTGGTTAAAAGGACTCGAAATTCAAAGTTTAGGACTTTGGACTCGACTTGGGACTCGCTAGTCTTGACTTTGGACTTGACTTGGGACTTGCCAGTCTTGACTTGGGACTTGACTTGGGACTTGACTTGGGACTTGACTTGGGACTTGACTTGGGACTTGACTTGGGACTTGACTTGGGACTTGACTTGGGACTTGACTTGGGACTTGACTTGGGACTTGACTTGGGACTTGGAGACAATGACTTGAGACTGACTTATGACTTGCAAAACAATGACTTGGTCCCACCTCTGCAGGCAAGCATAAGCAATGCGCTAAAGCAGGGGTGGCCCATTCCAGTCTTCGAGGGCCGCTGTCTTGCTTGTTTTCCAACTATCCCTGCCTGAGCTGCTGCTGATTACCTGGCTCTGGTGTGTTCAGCCAGTCAGAAGCTGGAAGATACCATCTTAGATGAAAGTGGAGTGAGGAAATATAAAGTGAATTGGTATCCGCTAACAACACAAAAAAATGTAATCACATAACCCCTGTTCTGCCATCACAGCACTGGTTTCCCATACAATACAGAATAAATTATACACAGTCATTACTTCTTTTTAAAGTTTTGAATAGTCTATCACCCTCCTACCTTAGTGAACTGCTTAATCCTCATGTGCCAGGGAGATCTCTAGGCTAGGTCCAGGCTTAAGCTCAAGGGTGAC